GGGAACGTTGAGGTGACAGTGGTGGTGCTGTGGCTGGGGCTGGCAAAGCTGAGCTACACCAGGGCCAAGGTGGCACTGCAGGCACTGTGCCCAGGGCAGGGCTCCCTCACCCAGGCCCTCTCATGTCCCCCAGAAGGATTGATTACACCCGGCCTCCCTCTCCTGCCCTTGTCCCTGGCAGTAAATGCACCCCGTCCATGAGGGGGCTGTTTCTGCCGCAGGTCACACCTTGACACCATTTCATCCTGCTGAGGAGACATCAGCTCTGCTGGCTACAGACATCTCACTGACAGTGGAACTCCTTGTTCCCGGCTCACTTTTAGGGGGAGAACCCAATAGAAGCCCAGGTTTGACACAGACCTGGCTCTCCCAGGTTGCTCTCCAGGCACAGCGTCCCTGGCCTGAGCAGGGCCTGGCTGGAGATGCTGTGCAGGGCTCAGGGTGTGCTCTCCCTGCCTCAGGGGTGCTGTGTGCCTCTCCTGGCAGTGCTCAGTTTGTAAACACACACAGAATTTTAGAGGAAAGGGACGAAAGTAAGATGAGCTCTTGGCACAGCAGAGATGTGATCTGTGCTCTGAGCTTGTCACCAGCATCTGACAGGAGGATTTGGCCTCCAGATGCTTTTCCTCCTGGTCAGAAAGTTCAAGCTCTCCTTTGAGCAAGGCAGAGGTGTTGGTGGGATGCAGCAGCTGTTTCTAGATCTTCTCTGAACTGCCGGTTTTATCTGAGTGCCTCAAAGAACCACAGACCTACTGATGCCTTTCCTCTCCCGTTTCACAGCTTGCCCTGTCCAGATCCATCTCCTTGGGCGACCCCACCAAGCCACAGAGGTATGATTCTGTGATTCTGTGATTCTGTGATTGTGTGATTCTGTGATTCTGTGATTCTAGAGTCACTGCTCCTGGCTTGTTCTGCGTGAAAGGAGTGTGCCAGGAACTGTGGCAGTCCCGGTGGGATTGGGGTGCGAGGCACAGAGTGGTACCCAGCACCTGGGATGGTCAGGTGCAGCTGTGACCTTTGGCTTGGGCACGGGAACGGGCAGCACCACCTTGGGAGGGACAGCAAGGGGACACCACAAAGTGTGGTGACACCACGTGGCACAGGCAGGGACAGTGTGGTGACACCCAAAGTGTAGTGACACCCCGAGGGCACAGGGAGGGACAGTGTGGTGACACCCCAAAGTGTGGTGACACCCTGCAGGCACAGGGAGGGACCATGTGGTGACACCCAAAGTGTGGTGACATCCCGAGGGCACAGGGAGGGATGGTGTGGTGACACCCCAAAGTGTGGTGACACCCCGAGGGCACAGGGAGGGACAGTGTGGTGACACCCCAGGGTACAGTGACACCCTGCAGGCACATAGAGGGATGGTGTGGTGACACCCTGCAGGCACAGGGAGGCACAGTGTGGTGACACCCAAAGTGTGGTGACACCACGTGGGCACAGGGAGGGACAATGGGGGGACACCCCTGTTTTGGGTGGAAATGAGGCCCACAAGGAGCAGCTTCTGTGAATTCTGTGTGCTCCTCCTGCAGGAACTCCACTTCTATATTAAAAGAAGATAAAGAGACGTTTGGGTTTGAAATCCAGGTAAGACCAGACGTTTGGGTTTGAAATCCAGGCAAGACCTAAGTGACAAGTTGTTTCACTAAAAACAAAATGTGGGGCAGAGTCTGAAGTGCCATATCCCCCAAACCAGCTAAGGCAGGCCAGAGCAGAGGAAGGGTCTGTCAGAGCCTGTGAAATCTGAAGGGCTTACAGCCCTCACACAAGACAGGGATGTTTCTCTGAGGATTCTTGCATAGTGAAAGTCACAGATGAAAATTTCTGGCCTTCTCACAAGACTGTTGAATGCAGGAGAAATCCCATTCAAATCCAAATAAGAGGCAATGATAGTGCTTTCTTTCCTCCAAAAATAAGTGAATATTTTTGGGAGAATTGTATATAAGAATATTTTCAAATGAGAAAGACCAAAAAACTCTCTTAAAAATTACCTTATGCTGGCTTTTTGCTACCTCCTTTAATATGTGCGGAGAGATACATACTTTTCAGGAAGATGTACAATATTATTCCATAAATACCTGCTAAGCATGACTTTTGGGGCAGGAGCTAAACCATATAGGAAGAGATTCTGTTTGGTGTAGAAGTCAGTAAGTCATCAAGCAGGGGAACCAGAATGTTACCCGCAGCACTGCTAGGGGGAGATTCTGTGTTTGTGGGTTTTTGTCAGAAAGGTAACTCCTGAGCAGCAGGTCTGCTGAAATCCTGGGTACAGCTAAAAAGTGATCCCAGCAATAAAGGGATAACTTTGGGAGCAGAGGGACCTTCGAAGTGCTTTCCTCTGTCTGCACACAAGGGGAAAAAGTGTTTTCTGTGAAATTAGTGTATTAGGAAAAGCTTAACTTTGCGCAATTTGGGTCTGTGACTAATGAGGGGGTCGGCACTCAGCTCGTGAACAGAGCAGAGCTTTCAGAAGGGAGGATAATTGAGTCAATTATTGGGCTTTTGTGTAAATTGTCAGGGCAGATTTTCATTAAACGTGGCATTCTGATTAAAAATAATTGTTCTTGGCGCGTTTTCTTCCTGAACATACATTCAGTGTGAGCACTTCATAGGGCTGCAGAGAGGCAGCATCCGTCAGATACTGAGGATGTTTAGGAGCTGCAGTTCCGTCACTAGGAGATAAATTCAGGCAAAACAGAATAAGATGATGTGAAACATTAGGTCTCCATCTGCAGGGGGCTCATGCTTCACTCATCACTCTTAGTTTAGGCACCAATTTAACAGCTATTCCAAAGGCTGGAATCACCAGGGCACGGAGGGATTTGGCCAGAACTCCCCGGCCTCCCTCCCTTTGTTCCACCCTGGCTGAGAAATGTGGGGCTCCCAATGAGCTGTCTCTGGGCTGGAAGGGGCAGTTGCAGGCTTCCAGGAAACTGAGGTGGTATTTGCATGTCGCAGAAAAGGTTTCCTGCTGCCGCGGGACCCAGACAGGCTGCGGAACCGCATTTTGCATTTTTCTGAATTCTTGTCAGCAGCCATAACCACACCAGGGATTTAGAGTAATTACAGTTACTAAATGTTCAGCTAAATGTGCGCGTCAAAAATAAAAGCACTTCGAGGAGCGTGGGGATGTGTGTGGGTGACAAGTTCCAGAGGCCAGAAGAGCAAAAGTAAGTTTAGATCTTCTGTCTTTTCAGCTCCCATGCAAACTGAGCTGGCTGGTAGCAGCAGCTGACTCCACACAGCATTCCCAATGAATTGGAGACAATCCCCTGGAAAGCCCCAGTCCCATCCTGTCATGTTCCCCTGGGAACATGAGACATCCTTCCAGAAAGCCATTCCCACCCATGCTGACGTATTCTTGGTTGAAGTCACAGAGTTTTTAATGCTGAATAACCAGCTTGCTGTAAAACTTTTTGTTAAAAAAAAAAAACAAAACCAAAAACAAAAAAACAAAACAAAACAAAAAACCAGGCATCAGTCTGTTTTTAAAACTTATTTGTTGTTTTTCTTCCCCCCCAAACCCACTGTGCAGGCACCTGTCAAGTGTCTACTGTTTTCTGCGATACAAATGCATTTTTAATTGTTGGGTTATAGCATTTTGATCTCACTTGCATGTAGTGCGCTCTGCTCATCACAGCCTTCTCATTGAAAAACTGCTGAATTTACCTGGTTTTTGTGGCTCCAGGGTCAGTAACCGTGTCCCTTTGGCATTAACAGACCGTCAGGTTCCCACACCAGAATGATTTCTCCCTGGAGGTGTGCACGTGTGTCTGCAGGATCCAGGAGGAGAGCCCTGCCCACCGCTCTGGCCTCCAGACTGGTAACTGTCCCTGGGTGCTCCTGGCCCTCCGGGGTGCCGTGGCTGCTCCCCTGGAGCAGGGCAGGTGGGCAGGGGCTGCTGATGCCACCCTGGCCTCTGTGTGTGTCCCTGGCAGGTGACATCCTCACCTGCATCAACGGCGTCAACGTCGAGGGCTTTGGGCACAAGCAAATAGTGGACTTGATAAAGTCTTCAGGGAACTACTTGAGGTGGGTGTCTCTCTTTTGGGTGGGCTTTGGCCTCGTTTCCTCTGCCTCTGAAGGCAGCACCGTGCTGCCCCACAGCCCTGCAGTGCCGGGGGCAGAAATCCCCAGGCTGGGCAGAGCCTCTGTGCCTCAGGGCAGCACCACCCTTCCCACAGGTTAGAGACTGTCAACGGGGCCTTCTTCCTGAGGAAAATGGAGCTGGAGACCAAACTGCGGGCTCTCAAGGTAATGGGATTAATTGTTTGTTCCCCTGTCAAACGGAGATGGCTGTGGCTCACTGCTGATGGGGGCAGTGGGTGCCCATGGGACAGGGGGTCCTGGCAAGGGCTGACACCCTTGGGTTCCCTGCTGCCAGCACCCCCAGCCACCCCAGCCCTGGTGCCCCTGATGTTATTTTATGGAAACCAGGAATAGAGGAGGAATGTGCTCACAACCCCAGCACTGCCCAGGTGAGCTTGGGCCGCTCACTTTGGGCGTGGAAATCTGCACGGAGCTCATGGACTGGTGGGCAGGTGCCCCCCGTGCTGTCCCCAGGCACAGCCTGGCCTGTTTGGTGGTTTTAACCAGCTCTGCAGAGGTGTGTTTCACCCCCAGCGCTGAGGGAGGGCAGCTGAGGGCATTGCATTGCTGGGTGTTGGATTGCTGGTGGCTCTGGGGCTGTCAGGATCTCCAGGGGTGCTCCCAGGGCGGGCAGGGGTGCCTGTGCCCTTCCCTCCTGTGAGGTGGGGTGCCTGCTCCGGTGGGTGCTCCGGGGCTGGGCAGGGCTGCAGAAGGGCGCTGGCATGGCCTCAGCTGGGTGAAGGGGGCTCCATGCTCCCCAGGCAGGTTCCAGGCTGCTCCCTTCCCAAACGGGACAGGGCAGTGCTTCGGCTGAGCACCCCAGCCATGAGCCAAGCCCTGTTTTCTGGAAGAAGTTTGCCAAACTCTGGCCCAGCCGGGTGTTTCCCGAGGGTGACCTGCGCTTGCACAGACTGTTTGGCTTCCCTGGAGTGACCGAGCTGCTGTTCCCTGTCCCACAGCAGGCGCTGCACCAGCGCTGGGGAGAGCTGCGGGCGCTGCTGGCCCGGGAGCGGCTCCTGCTGCACGGTACGTGTGTGGGGGACCCTTCTGTGGAACTCTGCAATCCCACCGGCACCGCCTTCCCTTCCCTGCTCAGGAGGGCGAGGGGCTGGCCTGGGAACGCTTTGTGCAGAGGGCAGTGACCTTGGCTGCTGCTTGACCAAGGGCTCCTTGCATCAGTCCTGGGCTGGGAGTTTATGTGGGTGGGAAAATTTTCCATTCTTACTTTGGCTATATGGGGAAGGGGCTGGGTTGGGTTTCCTATGGACTGCCCAGGATGCAGGGAGCTCCTCACAAGCAGGAGCAGCTGCCCACGTGGGAAGGGACTGTTTCCTGTGCCAAGGGCTGGGCACGATGCTCCCGGTGGTGCCAGGGCACAGAGTGCTGCTCCTGGAGAGGGGTGGACAAGCTGCCCTTTGGCCAAGGCTGACCTCTGGCCAA